GCGCGCACAGGGAGAGCGCGTGAAATACCTGCTGCGAAGCTGGATGAGTACTTTTTGGTAAGAGTAAGTGTAACCCGCCTGTAGAAATCACAAACAAAACTTTATGGACCATTTTGGACGTATGTTGGAACGGCCACGGGCTGGAAGTAGGTTTTCAAAAGCCTTATGTACAGAGGGAATGTCACGGATGTTTTAAAAGTCTTCAGATACGTGTAAAACCGACATATATATCACGTATTATCTCCACAGAACAAACACCGTTTGAAACGTGCCCCTTTTTAACTACCATTATGAGCTGTCTAAAGACCGTTTTGGTCGAAACTTGGGAGGAAAGGAGGGAGGGGGAGAGGAAAAAAAAAAAAAAAGCCCACTGATCTTACACCTGCTCTTTAGCAGTGGGAAGTGGGTTCTCAATCTGTTAACATGACCATCTGGCCAATCTGCATATCACGGCTATCTGGATTACTGTACGATGGAATGACGATAATGTAGCCAAAACAAAAGTAAAACGCATCAAAACCTAACAGTAGCGCAGGCCTTTTGATTTTAAATTAAATAATAAATGCGGTATCACAGCAAAGGGAGAAAGTCAGCTAAGTAATTAAAAACGAGCCTTCGCTACGGCATAATTAAGCAAACGATATAGCGTGTGTTTCTATACGAGCCGGCAATAGCTTCCACCGCCGAACGCTCCACTTTTGCAGAGCAGCTACCGGGAGTTGAAGACGCTGCGACAGCTCTTTTGGTGATGTACAGCGTCGTCAGGACACCTCTCGCATCCCTGCAACACGCCGAAGCGGCCGCGGCCATTAACAGGATTAATGCAGCAACAATCAATACCAATTGTACTAAAAGATTACGGCGCAAAGCCTTATATACCTTTCGGACTCCCTGATACCTCCACGGGTTTTCTGGCTACCTGCAGTCATTTCCCGCATTGGCCAACCTTTGGGTTATTCCCATGGATGCCTCTTTGCGGTGGTTCGAGTAGAAATATCCCAAATCTGCCGACGGGAACATAAAATTGGTTTGCTTGAAGTTCAAGGTCATGTGCTATACACTACTGCCCAGGCAATTAGCCATAGAGCATACTTAGACGCTAAGTAAATTTTCAGTGTCGCGGAAAGACGACTGACTTCTTGCACCTTCGCTGGCTTCTATTCGAAACACCAACAGAAAAATGAGCCCGTGTAAATAAAACCATATCCCCAGATTTTTCTTAAATTTGGGATTTTTAGATGTCCTTCTGAAAGATTAAAAGATTTTCTCTGCCACAAATACCTCGCTAGCTTAATTCTCGCCCGAAGCGCACAACGATGGCCGTCCAAAAAAATAAATCGGGCATTGCAGCATCGCCTCCTGGCCTGCCATCCAGCTTCGTCCACTGGAGAAGTCTCTAAAAACTGTGACCTCTCACAAAATTTAACTACTTCTACTGCGAATCTGTTCTCCAATCTGATCACATTAGCAGAAGGAACTCCAAAGCAGTAAAAAACTCCAGAAAGTTCTCGGTTGAGTGCCTACTAATGAACAAAGGTTAACTTTATCTAAAAGGTCAAATGCCTGGTGGCTAAGGTTGTGACCTTAACAACTTAAATTGTGACCTTGCCACGTGCCTAGTATATTGTAGATTCTGATACAGATCATCTGGTAAAGGACCGGTCATAAATTAGCTTTACTGTTCGACTCCCACAAAGAAAACGGTTTGCCACAATGGTTTCCAACTTGTCATTTGATACAAGCACAGAATAAGTGAAAACTAAAAAGCAAACCCAAGTTCAGGGTATGAAAAAGCCGCCTGCTTTTAGTTAAGCAGATTAGAAACTGCAAACTGAGAGCAATACTCTAGATTTCAATACGTTTTTTGGTCAACCTCTAATTCACAAAACACGGATCTTCCTTTCCTTTTCTTTTTTTCTTTTTTTTTTTTCTTTTTAACGAAAATGACATGTAGTTTGCCTATTTGCATGTTTTTGTTTCCTCTTTCTAGCCAGTTCTTAAAGAGAATAATTGATTTCAGTAGCTTTGTAAGAAGCACTATTTAAATCTGTGCACATGTGTTCCCTTACAGATGATAGTGCCTACTGAAGAAAAAGCGTGGATTCAAAGCAATAATTATCGTACATGTTTCGAAGGAAAGGGACATCTCGCTGCTGAAGTCACCTCGAATAAGGGCATCTTGGAAGAGAATACTCCCCCCCAAAGAAAAGAAGACGAAGAGTAGGAAAAAAAGACCAAGAAAGAGAGAAGCGAGCACTATGGGTGAAAAGGTCACAATGGTTTTGGCACGTATCTTCAAGCACGTTTCGGAGTCTGTGCCTCCTGCCAATACTGGCAACTTCTCAAAACTTTTAAGGAGGTAAAAACATTGTTTAGTGTTTACAAATCTTCTGTACTATAGCAGATGCTTGTCAAATCCGCTATACGTAAGTTGACCAGCCTACCTAATATCTGCGCTGGTGGCTTCCTCCTTATAAATAAGCGGTCCATACGTTTGGGGAGCGAGGTCTGATGGAGTTTGAGACAAAGGACCTTTAATATTTTTTTTCTTTTGTAATTTTCCTGTTGCGCACCCGGCACAAGCTGCCATTACTGCGGGTCTGCGGGAACCAATGGCTGTCAACTTGGCCAATGTTCAGGTGTAACAAAGACTGCTGGGATACATCGGAGCGGGGAAAAAAAGGGAAAAAAGGGGGAAAAAAAAAAGGTAGCCTATAGGTGAGGCTTTCGGTACACTTCTGTGAAGCCACGGAGAGGGCAACCACGCTGTGCTACCTCCTAAAAATCATCTCGTCCCCCTCCCCGGTGAGGGTTAGCAGGGAATACGCCAGCACACGCTCTACTGCATTAAGAGCACAATGCGATGCGTGCAATCAGCAAACAACGGCCGCAAACGCGAAGCGGCGCGGTCTGGGCGAGCGCGTTACTGCTTACACGAAACCGCAAATCGATCCCAGAAAAAGGCGCCCAAGCCCCGCGCTAAGTTTCCGCGGCAAACATCTAGTCCGAAGGACAATTAGTGCAATTGCTGCCCGTTGACGGCGAAGGCAGAAATAAATAAGAGTTCGCTATCAAGGCTACCGTTAGCCGACAGCGTGCTGCTAAGACGGTATATCCCCAGCCACAGTCCTGAACTTTTGTAACGTCTGTTGCCCAACTCTTACAGCAGGGCGAGGACCCCTTCAAGCCCCCCGGAGCACTCACACCCCTGGGTTTGGTCCTTTCATCCCCGTCCTACCTTTCCATGACCCTACACGCAGGCTGAACCAAGCCCGATGGTCTCCACGGACAACTTTCGCGCTCCGCAGAAGGCTGCTTTTCACCTCGGAAGCACAATACGGACCAGTATGTACCGGCCCCACGCGATACAGAAAGCTCGATAATAAAACCCCGCGTGCCGTACAGCGGCACGTAGCGGTTTTGTGCCGCGGGTACCGAAGCCCTTTAAGCGCATCACCCCGCTCCGGCGTGCGGAGGAGGCGACGGGGGCAGACAAAAGGGGAGCGAGCGCCCGGTCTCCTCGGGGCCGGTGACGGACGGGAGGGGACGCGCAACGCCCCAGCCCGGTCTCCCTTCGGTTAGCCATTAATCGGTGATCTTCCCTTCACCGTGCCCCGTAATAAATCGCAGGGTAAATAAATAATTTTCCGCAGTATTTGCCTACCTCCCCTGCGCCGTAAACGCGCCATAGGATTTTACAGCATCGCGCTGAAGCGCAAAGCGAATTTCGCAAGCTTATCTGGAGGAAATACCAGCACAGAAAAACTTTGGGGTAGCCAAAACTTTCTGTAGGACCCTCGGAAAGAAGGCGGCACTGGAAGTGCAGGCTGCCAGTGCTGCAATTTGCTCAGCTTTCTTACCCAGAAGTATTTATACAGAAGCGGTTTCTACTAACGCGACTCCTCTCCCCCCGGCTCCTCTTTTTTTCCAGCCTGTCCAGCCCCTCAACTTGCAAGTCAGGCCGAAACCCAGCGGGACCTATGCATACCATACGTGAAGACCGGGGCCTACGCTTCACACGCGCACGTTTTTCTGCGGTATCACCCTCAGGAGAACTACAATAGCGTATTATTCTCTCCCGTCAACGTACTACCCGTCCTCTGCGCCCGGCGAGCCGCTGCGTGCCGTGCTTTGCGCCGGAGTCAGAGATCCCGAGACTTTCATCACACGCAAAAACAGCTCAGCCCCCCCCGCCTCCATAAGCACAATAGGATCAAACCAGGAATTTGTTTCAAGACCTGCTCGGCTTCGCAGGGGATAAATTGTGACGTTTCAGGGGGGTTTAAAGGCCTGCCTTTCCCCGTAGGATCACCCGGGGGTTCCTTTCATGGCCGCCCTCACCCGACGACCAGGTTTGCTACCGAGGGGCCGTCCTCTCCTTCCCCTCCCAGCCCCATCCTGCGGGATTTCGGCTCCCAGTCCCCGTGGGGTGAGGGTACCCGGTGCTCCTGACCCACGGGGCCTCGGGCACCTCTCGCCCTCTCAGACTACTCCGTGCCTAACGTACACAAACGTTGTTCGTGGCTGTTTGGGGTTTTTTAAGTTAAAATCTATCTGTTTTCCCCCAAAACCAGGATAAAGGAAGCCGCGTGCGGCTGCGATCCCTCCTAGGACAACACTTCGGTTAACACCTGTGAAGGATGCCCGAAACGCCGTTACGCCCGGGAAAACGAGAGCCGCTTTTACGTGGCTGCACCTTAAAAGCCCATGGAAAAAAAACCAACCAACCAACCAACCAACCAACCAAAAAAAACCACAAAAAAAGGAAAAAAGAAAAAAAAAAAGAACAAAAAGAAAAAGAGGGGGGGAGTTTTGGCACTCCCCTCGCCGCCCCGGGAGGGCGATAACCGGCGTCCCCCGCTCCCTCCCCGGCTCATGCAGCCGCCGCCGGCACCCGGCACGGAGATAAACCGAAAAGTTGTAGAAGGTGGTATAGAAAGGCACTTACCTGCTGCGTGCACAAAGTATGCCAAATATAAATCGAGTTCCTTAACAGAAACTCCTATATGGTGGGGCTGTACGCACAGCCCGGGGTTAGAGCACTGTGGGGACTTTACAAGGCGCTCGCCATCAGTACTTTCGAGCGGAATACCTTTAAATAAAATCACCATAACAAGGTCCAACCTCCAGACCTTATCTGCCTGGCGAAGGCAGTCAATTCTTCTCATCTTGCCCTTCTGGTCTGGATTGGAAAGAACGCAACACGGAGGCTTTTTTCCTGTGACTGTGAGAACAAAATCCTCCCGAAATTCAGGCCTGATATCTTTCCGGAGCTTTGCCAGAAGTCTGGATGCCCATTTTTGCTTTACCTCGGGTTTTTCACTTAGCAGTTCGTCCTTCACGGCTCTCTCTTCCTCTTTTGACATGCGTTTTTCATGTTTTTTGAAGTATTTTCTTTTTCGGGCTTGCAGGTTGAACCACGTGTACGCAAACGCTCGGACGTGAGGCAGAAGTGCTTCGATGAAGGGATGAAATTCATCCTGAAAAAGTTACAGAGAAGGGTCCATGTCACCGAAACCATCAACAAAAAGCCTGCAGAAGCGGGGCTTTGGCGAGACGCTAAGGCTGAGGATTAGGAGGGGGCTTCTACGTTTTACGGACCGCGGGACTCGTACCCTTCGCCGACGGAGCCCGTCGCATCACCTCGCGCCGACCCAAAACCCCCGCTCCCCCCC